ATATCTTTCTTCCGCATAATCTGACGTCTGATTGCTGTAGCTGGTCGAAGAGCGCTGGCGCACTAACATCCAATGCTTCATATAAACGCTATCACCAAACACCTTAGAACTATTGCTTTGGCAGCTCTTTGTCTCTTTAACATCGAACCTGCCCTGCCAATTCCTCTAGGATTAACGTTCGACTCTCTGCTATAAGCATTCAGTATCACACCAATTGATACGATGGCAACTCCTGGTAGCATATATTTTGGCAGATATTGATACTTTGTCAGCCATCGTAAACATATGTACGCATTTATTTTAAGCAAAGCAATTTAAAGTAAAGTAGAAGGGTTGGAATTTGTGATGGTACCCTGGCATATGAACGAGTTGAAATGCCAGGCAGAGACGTTTCAATACTGTAATTTTATGCACTTTTCATTTTATAATTTGCGTTGAAAGAAATAGACCACTGACCTCATGTATGTGAAAGCGTTATGGATGTGATCGGGATCGAATTTTTACTAGGTCAACCCGGAAACCATTCTGCTTGTCCGGGGTCAACTCATACATAGTCTAGTACCCCCAAGTGGCTACGCGCCTAGAGCCACTTTTCTCGAATCACCAAAATCCTATGCGTCTCAAACTCGGCAGATTAAAAATGGCTATTAAATCGACCCGATTTCTGCATGGTTGTCCCATCAGGGGCTGTACAATGTATGAATAAGCTAGAGGTCACCTACTGGTACATACTAATACTAATGGTAATGGTAATAGATTGGTAATAGAGGAACAAAGAATGCAAGGTTCCCGTTAATACGTTCTGCATAGTTGAACTATTTCAAAATATGCGTACTTATCTGCTTGCACATGTTTCGTATTCTCTTATGCAAAGCACTTTTTAATTGAATTAAATCACAAAAGGATATCGGTAACGATACACTGACCTTTGATGTCAGAATTTCAGAAATGTCGAAGCACAAATAAGTTAAGAATAATCATATCTCGTAAAATACGTGAGCGTATCTTAGAGGGGAAGCAACTGTCGCCAAGAGGTAAACCGCGAATGATATGCATCAGAGTATATCGGCCATGACTTGTTTTTATTGCAGAACCGAATAGTACCCCTGCGCATGGTATTTCGATATTCGCACATGATAATTTGATAATGCGACTTCCCCCAAGGGTCCTCACACACAGAGGGACTTTGATCTCGTAACTGAGGAAATGTGATAGCACATTAATGGGGGATTCCAACTCGTGCCCCGGGGATTCTCATCCCATATATTATCTCTCAGCCTGTACATAACCAGAAACGATTAGCTGTAATTCAAATATATAAAATACTTATTAGAGTAATGAAAAATCATTTTAGATCTGAAATTAACCCTGCGTCAGTTCTCAAGTCATGATGATTCTGTTTAGAACCCGGAAGGGCGTCGAAAGCTCTGTATTGCCTCAAACGAAAGAGATACGACTAAGGTGTGTTTAATTAGCCATTAATATCTTAATTTACGCTTACAGTGACCCTCAGATACATTTAGATGAAAGGCAGGGTAAAGGCACAAGGGTAAAGCAGTGAAATAACAGGACCAACTTGGTAAGTTTATTACAGGCAATAACGAATCATCTCTCTAATATCCTTCGAAATATTGTTACGGATACTCCGACATTTTTAAGCATTATTCAGGGTGAAATATTCTGAACATCATATCACACCATCTCTGCTGCCTTTTTAACACTACCCCTGTGCAGGGACTCGGAGTCACCTACTGCATTAGTTACGTGTTATGCATATCATTCTTTTTGCAACATGATTGTGGTGAATGAAAAAAGATGACCAGACACGACAATGAAGCACGAAGTACGAGAAGAAAGAATAATTATATGAATATGAACAAAAAATTTGACGCCACCAGGAGTTACTGTGGGGAAAGTGCTATATCATCTACGAAGGTCCTGACGGAGGTCCTGATGCAAGGGCGGGCTACCGGAGAAGCTTCAGATACTTGAATGAGTTACACGATCTGGCAGACAGTCTGCATCATGTCCCAAAGAACTACCTCAGATGAGAAAGGAGCTCCAGGAGCTGCACCTTGTACCAGAGGAGCACCTCAATCCTCAGAGGAGCTACGGTAGTGAGACAGCATTTTTGAGAGGAACATCTGAGAGGATAGAGGAGCTGCCGTAGCAAGACAGGAGCTACGTGAGTGCCAAGTGGAGCTACACTGCCAGGTAAAGGAGCTCCAGCGATAATTTCGGTGGTAGATTCGCCAAGGCAAGGGGAAAGGCTGTGGACCTCCGGTGTAGCTCCTTCTATCGGAGGCCCTATTAGCTCGATGATCAAAGCACGGGACCCTGTCCCTACTAGCGTTATATAGCGGGGTAGTTAGGGTGGTAAAAGCTTGAGTTTCTCGGTATGACATGGTAAGAACTTTTTCATCAAGATCCATATGAGAATATCCAATCGCAGCTTATACCGAGCCCGAGCGGCGGAAGGTACGGTTGCCGACGGGCGCCGACATTTTTCGATTTCGAGAATCAGTGGCGGAACATGACTTCTCATCCCGCGATACGACGTCCTCTGAAGCAGGAGTGCACAGTCAATCGTTACCGTCCGGTATCTCGGCGGAGTTGATTCGCGAGATCTGACTATATCGTCGGTCAAGTGATTCACTCAGACTCCAGCCTCTCAGTGACATTTCCGTTAAATCTCCCCAGAAACTTTGTCCAATGGATGATAAGATTGCATTAACTTCCTAATAGAGGTTCGGACTGTGTATCAGCCTGTTGCAGAGCAAAGTTGAGATCAAGTATAAACAGCCCCAATCCACTACAGCCTTACAGGTAAAGGCTTGTGCTAAGAAATTACAAGGATATGGTGTATATACTGTAGAAGATTCAATGTTAGCTGGAGCAATGTCATTTTTTGGAATGAGAAAGGCAAGCTGTTCAGTTTTAAATATTCAGCAGCGGTTCTTTCTATATAATGTGTTCGCTTCGAAAGGCTTCAAATAAATAATAACGAAAACCATAATAGGTTGAGTACTAGTAATTCTTTTTGGAATATTACGCAAGTGATATCCGGAAAGATTGTCAAGCAGGTAGGGATACGGATATGTATCAAGTGAGAATCGAGATGCTTCGGATACATTGGAATATTCATTCTCTGTCTCTGTGATTAAGCTTGATGCCAATGCGATGGGTACCTCGCCAGTTTTTCATCTGATTCTGAGTAGTTCAGGTTCATTGCTACTCATAAATACTGTTTGATGCATTATATTATGTCTTTTTATTCACTCATTTAAGCTCTACCTCCTCTCCCCACCAGCCCCTCTCCTCCCCGTGATGCGTCTTGTTCAGACATTTCTTTGAAAATGATGTACATTAGTCACCCCTTCGCCGCGTAGGTGTGTATATTTAACGATCGTTTTTACAACCCTAACTCTAAGGCTCGCCGCTCCCATCGAATCAGACTTAACGAGTGAAACATTCTTAGCTACCCCAGCCTATTTAATTGCACATAATTTCAGTCTGAAGATATCCCTGACATACACATTATATAATATCTATCTAATCAACCTGATTTTGGTGAGAAACCTGGGGAAAGGGATATCGTCCTGTACAAAAGGTCCCTGGCGGCGCGGCGCGGTCCGGCAGATCAGATTGAGATCGTCGGCTATCGGGACGGTAACGATCGACTGTTACCTGCTGAAGCAGATCACCATACCTGAAACATTCTTGGTAATAGATTCAGGTTGCGCAGTGGTGGTGTAAGGTCATACTTGATAAGCGCTGACATGATACACAAGAGTCCACAAGTACATATCGGTGCGAGATTGCCTACAATAATCCAAATCCTTTACATTCTTCTCCAATAACAACCGCAACCAGCTCATACAGTCGATATTACACGCGGAGAGCCTCTGCCTCCTACGCATCTATCCGAGACAGGGTACATCTATATCCCTCAATAGTATCGATATAACATTGCTCGGCTTCACATTACATGGCATCGATTTCGATAACATCAACGTACCCAGAGTGAAGACACTAAGAATAGCAACCGGGGATGATGCTAGTTTACATTGTCTTCCATGGACCTCCGTTCGGCCAGGAATAACAACGTTGAATATAGCCAAGGCTCACCTGGATTCCACATCTTTCATGCAAATACGCAACATATTTCCGAACCTAGAGACTCTAACCCTCTCCATGAGTGGACTTTGGCATCTTGAAGAAGGGATGGACGTCAGGAACATGTCCTTGTGCCACCAGTTAAACCTACGTATTTTGGATGTGTTTCAAGCCCTCTAAGTTCAGGATTCTCGTTCAGAAACTAGCATCCGCGTCAGAGATATAAGGGACAATCTTCCAAGTGTCATCCGTATTCTGCTAAAGCTTAAGCAGAGGAAATTCGTCGAAGGGCTTGCAAACGCGTGTCCAAGCTTCATCCAAATCCTGACGGATAGTGGCGCCCCGCACTATTGTCTATTTCGTCATCTGGATGATAAAACAAATTAGAAGCTGGATTTTTGTGGAATACAGATTTTGACGAGCCTCTCCCAGCTTCTTACCAGTCCGAAGAAGACAAAATGAAGAAAAAATAACAGAGAACAAAGGCGACGGCGATAAAAAAAAAAAAAACATTAAGAAGGCCCATGTCACAAAAGATGGCTCAACGAACGGACTTGGGTGCTTCATGGATAAGTAGAGTTAGCAAATGATCACAAGTGAAGGAGAATCTATGACGAGGGGTTCAGAGGGTCGAAATGAAGTGATATATTTCCAGATATCGATCTACAGTTTTCAACTTATACCAACCAAAATATATTATATAGTTAATCAGTTCCCTTTCAAATATGGCGATATCTTTGCAGTGTGGAACCAAATGTTAGCCTCTGAATCGTCCAAGTTGTCCATCCAAAGTCTCACTCCTTTCGGGACTGTAACAGCTGTTCCGTCTTCGTTCCGAGTCATCGTAGAGCGTATGGACTGCATTCTATCACGACCAATAGTATGGTCTATTGGCTCAGTTGGTTAGGGGGTGGTATTAATAATGTCAAGGTTGCAGGTTCGACTCCCGTATGAAGTAGCCCTCTTTTTGTCATATTTAAGAAGGATTCCTGCGGACTTAGATGCGTATCTAATAAAAGTGTATGTTTTATTCTTAACATTTTACGATGTTTCAATTATTGTTTTATCTCTTTCAAACCTTCTAACAAGGGCTTGGTTTTTCGTTTGGAGCTCCGCTCATAAGTACTTATTCTTTATAACTATAAAAAATCAAGCCCAATATTGCCCTCAACGACACTGGAAGCTTTCTCCTTTAATTTCAGAACACGTTGAAGGAGTTTCAAATGTGATTGAGTTAGATCTGGTTCGTTTACACAACTCAGTCTCTTCCCCTTCTCCGATTCTCGCAATCGCACTGTATTCCATGATAAAGACCTACTGTTTCGCGGTGGACGACTTTTCATTCGGACATTACTACTAATTCAATCGATTGCAAGATAGTTCGACATTGCGGTGCTCTCAACAGTTGTGTGTCGTGGCGTCGTGATGTACTAGGAACAAAGTGAAGTAACCCTGCCGAGTAGTGTCCTCCTTGGTAGGGTCTCAACCTGCCCATCAATGCACTTAGTGCTATCAAAACCATATTTAACAATCAATGGGAATCACAGAACATCTAAAAAAGCCGTAAAACAAACGAATCAGTTTCCTCTTTTAAGATTCGATTTTCGATTCGAAGACAACCTTCAGAATCGTCCCGCTTCGTAGCGTTACAGAATAGTGGTCTATGTTGGCTGAATGCACTAAGGTGATTTCTTGCTAGGACTTGATGGACTTGGTACTACTTGGTACGGTCCTTTTCAGAAGGGATGAAAGCCTTGGCCGAAGCATTTGGGCGCAAGCATCTTGGAATACTTCTAAGGACACCCAATTATCATGGCGGATTAGGGAACCATTGATGGTTTAGCGTCGAAATATGAGGTCAATGTCCGGGCATAATACCTTGACGAAATGATACGTCCCTTTCAGTAGAGCATGAAACCCTCACAGAATGACACGTAAAACTACTCGCGAAGAGCCATCCAATTACTACGGAAGACTTTTCAACGCCCAGTACTATTCATTGATTCGCCTTATGCAAGGATGTCCCGGTCGTCATCAAACTAGGATTGCCCTTGAGCGATGAATTCGTATAAAAAGGGCTGCTGAAGGACGCTTTACCCTCATCCCCTCCAGTAATCTACCTCACAGTTATACTAATTCTCTATCTTAAATCATGAAATTTGCCACCATTGCTGCTGCCCTCCCCGCCCTCGCTGCGGCTCATATGGTTCCTAGAGCTGCGCAGCCTACCGTTGGTGTTGCGTACTGTGAGTCCTTGTCGAATCATTACTAGCTCAATTGTTTAGTACTCACACAATATTATAGTCCTTACCAACGAGCAGTCTGGTAATCTCCTTGTCAGCAACGCAAGCGGTGCGGACGGCAAATTGTCGCCTGGCGAGGTTAACTGGGCGGGTGGTGCCGGTCAGTATAAAACCTTCCTTTCATATTCCGCATCTGACCCTCCTTCTATTAAGGTGCACATGGTATTAATGCTGGAGGACCTATCCCACTTTTCTCTGCTGTCACAGTCACAGTACGGTAACAAGGTATACACAGTCAACGTAAGAGCCAAAGCAAACCTGTAAAAAATCTGCATCGGACGTCCTTATAACCTGGATCCAACTCCGTCGCCGTCTTTGAGAGCGATACTACTAACCCCACCAAGCTTCGTCTCATTGGTCAACCCACCAACAGCGGCGATGAATTTCCCGTCTCGGTTGTCATCTCCAGAAAGACTGGACAGGTCTACGTTCTCAACGAAGGCAAAATCAGTGGCGTCAGATACGTTTTCATCTGACCTGCGAAAATAATTGTGTATTAATAACATTCTCTTGTAGCTACTTCGAACAGAATGGAGCTGTCGGCCTTGCCGCCGTCCCTAACCAAATCCGTTTCCTCGGATTGGACTTGACCACCCCCACTGCCGGCCCCGTCAGTAGCGTGTCTCAAATCGCGTTCAGCGAGGACGAGTGCAAACTTCTCGTGGCTGTCAAGGGTGTTCCTGGCGGCGTTGTTGGTTACATTGCCATCTTGGATGTTGACGCCAGGACATATTCCCTTTCTCAAACCTACACAAAGTATCCTGCCCCCATTGGGGGCCTCCTTCCCTGGACTCTTACCAAGAGCCTTGGAAAGAATGCCTTTGTCATTGCCGATGCCGGAGCCGGCTATAATGCTATCGACTTCACGCACAACACCGGTGCCGCATACCCCATTGCCAACCAGCCTGACAGATGCTGGACTGCTTTCTCAAAGAAGACTAGAAACGCCTACATCGTTGTATGTTATTTAGACTCCATGGCGTATGATATATACCTGGCACAAAATCCTTACTAGAATGAGGGCGTGAAGACTGTCACTGAGGTCAACTTCGATTCAAAGAGCGTCGTCGAGTCTTCCATCGTCAAACAATACAAGTTTACCCCAATCTTTTGGATGCTGATATTGCTACCGTTCGTGGAAATGAGTATGCGTATTCCTTATATTACGCATCACAACACTCACAATGAATTCCGATAGCCACTTCTATGTCCTCTCTGTCAGCAGCGGGGCCTTTCAAATCCTTTCTCTCGCAGGAGGTTCAGGAAAAGCTGCCGTCATTCAGGAATATGCCTATGCTACTAACTTGGCCGGCAGGGGAATCCAGACTGATGCGTAAATCCAGATACTTATGGCTGCATCCATCTCACTAACCCGTTATCCTAGACGGTGCTTACAGCCCTTTCGGGTACCGATGGCGGAGTTCGAAATATGCCTAATTTTGGCCAACGTAGAAAAGAATGTGCTGTAACTCTCGATCCGCTGCGAGTTAAGACACATTTTTTTGGGGATATCATATTGTATATATATACTTTAGCTCTAATACATTCGATGCTCTTAATATGTAGTTTGAAAAATTGACTAAAATTGGATGTGCCTTCCAACCGGTTCTCACTTATACTGAGGGCAGCATAGCTTTAAACAAGGTTAGATTTATTCAGTTATGCTCTCATTTGATAAATGCAATGAGAAAGGCTGCTGGAAAGCCCACAACAGGATCTTGAAGCCACGAACCAACATGATAGATCACGTGCTTTATGCGCCTTGCCATACGCTGTTCCCATCCGCTTGTCCCTCGCCCACCCATGCCTCGAGCCACTATCAACCCGGAGGACCGCCAGCACACCTTTGCTACTGAAGAAATCAAGCAAATCGCAGTGTATCAACGATACACACTAAGCTACAAGGTCTCGGACATCGCTCGTAACCTACGGATGTCAGATAGGTCTGTAGAGAGGGTCCTGCAGCTCTGGAGGACTACCGGGGAAGTGATATCTGAAGCATCGGAAAAGAAGCAGACTAGGAAAAGGATAATGACGGAGCAAGAGCAGGAAGTAAGTGCTACCTTTTCCTACATCTCCGTGTTTCTAATACTGACTTTATGTCCGTCCTATCTCTGTAGCATCTGCTGGAGCTTGTCAAATCATGCCCAGATCTTTACCTCGATGAGCTGCAAAAGCGTTTACAGGAGATGTTTGGCCTCTACATAGGCATTTCCACAATTTGGGATACTTTGACGGATTTGGGTCTCACACACAAACGGGTATGTTCCCACCAATCCAGAGTAGAACTATTTACTTAGGCTTTCTTCAGCTTTCCAAAGCGGCTGCAGAATGAAATGAAGAAGCCCACTCACAATACCGCTTTCGAATTGGAGCTGAATCACCAGACAGGCTGGTATTCATTGACGAGAGCCGCATCGATTGCCGTGCTACATATTGACTTTACGGTTGGGCTGAGAAGGGGCGTCGTGCTCGGATTAAAGCGCACTTTGTACGTGGCCCAAGGTGCGTAATTATCTTGTGGATATCAAATCTTCTAACTGACGTTGACACCAGTTATTCAATCCTTCCTGCACTCTGCTCGGAAGGCATAATTCACGCTCATATCAAGGAAGGCTCATATGATGGAGAAGACTTTTTGGCTTATATTCAAGAACTATTACTGAAGATGAATCCATGGCCTCAGTCTTGCAGTGTGCTGGTCATGGATAACTGCGCTATACATCATGTCGAAGAAGTTGCACCCTTATGTGCCGCTCGGTGAGTAAGCTTTTATCATAAAATCATTCATTCTATTTACCATTCTTTAGAGGTATCCGTCTCTATTATTTACCACCCTATTCCCCCGACTACAATCCCATCGAAGAGGCATTTGCATATGTCAAGTCAGTGATCCGCCGCAATGGGGATGAGTTCCGAGATGCCATTGATTCAAAAAATGAAAATGCAGTCTTTTACTATCTCCATCGCATCCTTGCTACTATTACACCGGAAATGGTTGAGGGTTGGATGGGACATTCTGGGTATATTAGTATTATTTATTCTTGATGTAATTAGATTAGAAAAATAATTGTAGATTGTTCATGTACACTGCTTATAATGAATGCATAAATAAAACGCCCAAAGGCATACTATTATCGACCATTTGATCTGCACAAAGTTACGCTACATATAGATATGTCCATCAAAAGTAACTACTAAAACAGTAATCTACTGAAAACAATCAATGTTTGCCATTCTTCTTCTTCTTCTTGGCATCTAAACATTGTAAGATGAAGGCACGTTCTTTGAGAGATAAACCGAGGCTATTAGGATCAGTCTTCATCAGTGAGCTGAGGAACGAGAGGGGAACATCAAGGAATTCTTCTCCAGCAAGCTTTGTTTCCAGTGCAAACATATTCATATACATTGCTTCTGGCCTCTTCGCTATGTCCTGCAACCATGCAGACACAGTGAGTACAGGCGGCACTGAACTGTTGTTATCTTCACTTCCAGATGACGAATGGCGGCGCTTTTTAGCAAGCTCGGGTGATGATGAACTGTCTCCGCTAACTTGCTTGTTGAATAGCTTGATACCGTTGCGATCGAGGATAAAGAAGTTTGGCATTTGGACTTGTGGGTTTTGGCCATATGGGATAGGCGGCGCACTGTCACC